CTCGTACTTAGAGCATCTCCAACCATGCCCTCTTTACATACAGTTTCTACAGTAAAATCCCACTAGTTATACAGTTTCAGCAGTATCAACAACTCCAATCCATTCCCTCTATAATTCTCCTCTAAAAGAATATTCCAAGCATATTCTTTTCTAATTTAATTAATATATTAAATAATATCTACAAATTACATTTAATGCATTATGCTTGCTAAATTTTACATATTTATGTATATATATTAATTATTAATAAGATTAATTAATAAATTTAAATCAAAGTATAAATTTAATTCCCCTCTAAAATTTATATATTTATGTATATATAAATCAAAATGATTAACAAAAAAACATTCACAAATTTTATTCACTCTTTATTCTCACTTTCTCTCTCACCAAATATTCTCTCCCTCCCTCTCGCTATTCTTCCTTCTCTCCCTCCCCAATATTTTCAACTTTATCTTCTTCCCCAACTCTCCCCCTCATCATCTATCTATCAGTACAAAAAGAAAATACAGAAAAATAATTACAAAAATACACAAAAACCCAATTCTATATTAAAAAAAAAATAAAAAAATTCTAAGCGGGTGAACAGTGGAACGGGTGCCAAACCGTTCCACAAATCATAGCGTGCCGTTTCCTTCAGTTTTACCGTCCCGGTTGGAGATACTTTTCCTCCATTTGTGCCGCTTCCTTCAGATTTACCGTCCCGGTTGGAGATGCTCTTAGTCGAACATGATTCAACTAAGTCGTTCGTGAAGTTCTGTGGACATTAGAACAATTGGACCTAGCACTTGAACTCGACTCGAATCCAATTATGTAAAAACACATAAATTCAAGTAAGATTGACCAATTCAAGTAACAACGAGAACCATATATGCAAAATTACATAAAAATTCAGCCTTTATCATAATGAGCTAAACTATGCGAAAATTGACACGAATATCACGTTTCCAAGTTGGTCAGGCAAATGAACGAGTTAGGCTCTAAAATTTTAACACAAAATTCTCATCACTGAATATAACAATATCACCAAGTTTCAGCCTTTAACTCAAAACACCAAATTTTACAAAATTAAAAAAAAAAAATTCCAGCCGAAACGAATTCTAATTAGAAGGCTGACCTACAGAGTGAATCTGATCATGCAAATTGAACACATTAAACTTTAGCTCATGGAGTATGACATACCAAAAATGCAGCTAAATATAATGAACACACGATTTATGGCAATTTTTGAAAGATTCAGCAGAAACCTCATTTTCATTAATAACCTATCATAATGAACATAATAAAATATGAATTTTTTATGCCACATAATACAATGTTGAAGGAGTATGCACACCAAATTTCAGCCTTTTACAGTAAGGAACTGATTTTACATAATTTAAACATGTAACAACCCAGAATTCAAAATAAACAATTATCCTAGCAAATGGACTTCAAAAATTCTGAAACTTTTACAAATGACAACACATATCAGAGGAAAAATATATTAAAATTTCAAAATATTTGCATAACAACTCGATTTTACATGAATTTTCTAAGTTTCTGACCGAAAACCGAAATCGACATTTAACCAGGCTACAGAAAGAGTTTGAACATGAAATTTTTACACGACTTACAATACCATCAGAGGACATCACATATAAAATTTCAAGGCATTTGGACCATCATGCGATTTATCACGATTTTTACAACATTCAGCAATTATACAGGTTTCAAAGTTTCATAAACGACTCCAAACACATCAATTTTGTCCAAGGCCTTCACCATAAGCCAAAGACTCACATATGTTCCATATTCCACAGCCCTTTCACGAAATTAACAAGATCTCATTCGATTTCTCGAAAATCGAAAAGATATACACATAGAACAATTTATTATGATCCCTAATCATACAAAAATACAAGGCATCAATATAACACATATATCACATCAAAATATAGGGAGATTGTCAGCCCGAGTCCCGTTCTCGGGAAATTTGCACTAAAAGGGTCGAGAGACGGTCGAAGGAGGCTGCTGGCGCGCGCTCGGCAGCAAAGCTTGGCTCGCGCGGCGTTCGCGTGATCAGCGAGTCGTCTGTGCGCGTCTGTTGGGCAGCAACACATGACAAAAATGTGTGAACAGTGGACGATCGTTGGCCTGCGGTGGCCTGGCTTCTCGCAAGCGGGTAGCGATTGAAGGGCGATGATCACGAGCAGGGTCGCGGGGCTCACCGGTGGTGCACGATCGTAGGGAACAACGACGAGGATTGGCGAGGAGGGTCGCACGTGCAACCGCGATAGGAGCAATGGTTGGGGTAGTATCGAACAGCGATAGAGAAGGGGATGCCGGCATGCGATCATCGCGATGGCCGACGGAGACGCGAGCAGCAGTAGGGACGACAATGGAGGGCTCGGCAGCGATGGTTCTTGTGAGAAAAGAAAGAGAGATGATGACGTACGAGAGATAGAGAGATTTCGGAGACGAGAGAATGAAAGTTGCGGAGCTTACGTATGAGGTGAAGGGAAAATCTCACATATTTATAAACTAGCTTAGGGTTTGACTTAACAAGCTTTTGTCAACAAGCTACCCAAGAGAGAGGGAGGGGTGAACGTGGTGGCTAGCCGGGTAGTCGAGGCGCGCGGGTCTTCGGACCACGGGCGGGGCGTGCGATTTTATGAGTCGAGTTCTTCTCTTGGTTCAGTTCCAACACTTAGAAATAATATTCGATGCTCGGTTTGAAAAAAATAAATTAGAGGAAATATATATTTATATAACACAAACAATAATATTTATTTAATAATAAGCATTTAGACAATTAATAGCAATTAGGCATTTAATAATAACAGTAATAATAATAACAATAAAATAAATAAATAATTAATCCCAAATATTATTCATAAACAAACGGGGCATTACAAAAACGACGACATTTAGGCTTTTCTTAAAATAATAAATTATATTTCAAAATGACATGTTTATTTCTTATTAATTATAAAAGAATGAAGGAAAAAAGATTATAAAATATTTTTGGTATATTTCTCAATAATAATAAAAACAAAAAATAATAACCGTGCCTCACTCTCAATTTCATTTTTTAGCATCAAGCCAAAGGCAAATTAAATATTATTTCAATGATTTATTTAATTCTTAATATAAGTAATTAGTGCAATATGATTGAAAATTTCAAGCCATTTTTGCCCTGACTCGTGAAAATTTCTGGATCCGCGGCTAGACATTCTCATTCTATATTATCATTTATCACTATTTTATATAAAAAAAAATATTTGTATCAATGTTATTTTTTTAAAATTTTTCAGAACGATAGAGGATTTTATAACTAAAAACACACAAACGTGCAAAGGTACAACCCCTAGTTGAACGGTACAGCTAACAGCTAAAAAGGACATATCCGAAGACCGCCTAGAACCGACACTAGCAACGCTAGAAACCAAACCAAAACACTCACGACACACTAAACACTACAAGCTCCCAAAAGAAGAATAAACAATCCCACAGGAATAATACCCGCTCACACTCAGGTACATACAGAGGCCGATGGCCCAAACCAAAAACACGAGACCTAGTAAACAACACAAACAAAGAACACACCTAAACAAAACTAAAAAAGCAACAATTGAAACCAAGCCCTTCCACGACAGATCATTCGAGAAAAGCCAGAGCACAGCCCTGCATAACTCTGCTTCTGTTATTGAGCATTTCCCAATGTTCATCATGAAGTCGCCGAGCCATTTGCCATGGGAGTCACGAAGCAACCCTCCCGCGTAGGCCATGCACGAGGATTTATTATGTGCTCCGTCTGAGTTCACCTTTATCCAAGAAATCGGCGGGGCAAATTCCAATCGAATGTTAACAGTTAAGCTGTCGCACCTCTTGCTTGCTTGACTCCGCAAACTAGCTGCAGTTGAAGGTGCTTCGACTTGAGAGGAAGAACTGGCGAAGGACTACGTTAAACCTCAGATAGGCAAGACCCCTCCCCCCCCTTCTGACCCAACACTAGAGCACAGAGGGAAAAAGGGCAAGACCAGCGTCACAGCTCCGACCACCACCACGGAAGCACAACAAGCGGCCTCATGCCCCGCCCAGAGCACCACACTCCAACCAAGTCCACCACACGCCCGAGAATCCGACGACCATAGCCCACAGATGGCGCCTAAAAACAGAGGCAAAAACCGATCCCGAAAGTCGTTTGTAAACGACGGTGCAGCGGACATGGGAGACGCTGCATCTGGGCAGAATCCGAGCGGTCAAGGGCCGACACCAGCAACAACCCGAATTCCTCCGTGGAAGGCAAAACAAAGTAGATTTGAAGAGGGAGGCGGACATGTTAGGATAGAGAAGATAGAAAATTAGGGCTATTTTTTTCAATTGTGATAATAATAAATTATTTTTTAAAAAAATATATATATTATATTTAATACAAATATTTTCGTATTGTTACACTCATCTATATTATATAATAAATTAGTGAATGTGTATACATATTCATTTAACTAATACAAATATATCATATATAAATCCTATAATCATATGCTGCCGAATATAATTTTCTATATTATAATTCAATTTATGAATAAATATATAATATATATGATGTATAAAAATAAAATAATATCTTTTTATTTATAAACACATTTTTTCATTTTTATTTTTATTTAAGATAGTTTGGGCATGAAACACAATAGATAGTTTGGACATGTGCGTCCGAGGCCCCAGTGAGAATGGTAGAAACATTAGAATTAAAAACACAAATCAAAAGGAGGAGGGGTAAATCAATTCTCCCGGGTGGGATCTAAATTCTCTTGGGTAAGAGCTTCATTTTCCCGGTTGGGAGTTGAATTCCGGCGAATATTGAATCTAATTTCGTCGTTTCTCTTTCTTGCTTTCCATCCATTTTGTTATTTGGGTTCGTGGGGCAGCTTTTTGGGGGAGGTTTGCGCAGGGTTCGTGGTCTGTGAGAGCGAATTAGGGTTTCATTTCTTTGTTTTGGGGTTTAATCTAAGATGGAAGAATCCTCAGCAGGTATGGCTAAGGCGTGTGAGGGGGATGATGGGGTTCTCCAAAAGCTGGTCAAAATGTCCTTATCGGCAAAAGAAGCAGGAGAGGCTGAAATCATTGGGGATGATATCAAATCAAGTGATGAGGAGTGCAATAGAAGCTTATTTGGTAAGGTTGTGGGTGATAGGCATGCTGGTCTCCTGGGAATTAAGAGAACGATGGGCGCCATCTGGAGAATGCAACATTCCATGGAGGTGAAAGAGATTAGCGAAAATTTTTCCAATTTATATTTCTCTCTCAAGAGGATAAAAAGAAGGTGTCTGCAGGCCATAATTGGATGTATGGAAACCAATACTTAATCCTAAAAGAATGGTTCCATGGGTTACACAGCAATCACAGTTGCTTTGATGAGATCACTCTTTGGGTTCAGGTTTTGAATGTCCCTCTGAATTGGATGAGCACTGAGGTTGGCCAGAAAGTTGAAAGAATTTTCAATAAAGTTAAAAACGTGATTGTTTGTAAGGTTGGAGGGGATGTAGGGAGTTTTCTGAAACTGCTGGTGGCAATCGACCTGAAAGAACCAATTCCCAGGTGCACATCCATTAAACTTGGGAATCAAAAGGTGATGGTGGCATTTAGGTACGAGAAATTAGTCAATCTATGCTACTATTGTGGGATGATAGGGCATCTGGACAGGAGCTGTAGCAAAAGATTGAAAGACTTTGAGAATAACTGTGTGGTTGATGGTCAGTTCGGGGAATGGCTGAAAACTTCTGAGACATTTGCGGGGGGAAGGAGTATGCAGTCTGACAGTTCAGGTGA